CCCCGCCATCAAGCCCTTCGACCACTACGACTTCTCCAGGGCCAAGATCGCCTGCAATCTGGCCTGGCTGGTGGCCAAGGCCTTCGGGACAGGTAGGGCCCCCCCGCCCGGACGCGCGCGTCCCGCGCTCGTGCCGCGTCCCCGGAGCCCCTCCGTGCGTGCCGCCTGCAGGCGCCGGCGGCGATGCGGACCCGGAGGGGAAGAAGGACCGGAGAAATGCGGCAGGTTCGGGTGCGACCCAGCGCCCTCGAGTGCTCGGCTGGGCTCTGGCCGGATTCCTTTTTATTGGATCACAAAAGTGGCTTTTTGTGTGTGTGTGTGTTTTGTTAAGCGAGCAATTTTGTCCTCTTTTGACCTAGAATGTTTTTAATTTGTGCTGTTTTCCTCCTCGTGCTGCATCCGCTTCCCCCTCACTCACAGGTCCTTCCATCGCCGGCGATCTGAGGTGGGTCTTCACCGCCGGGAGCAGGGACATGGCCCATAGTACTATATCGGTTTGACATTTGTAATGATGGCTGCTGTTCAGGCTCCGGAGTGGCAGGTGGCCCAGGTCGAAATGCCCTGTGAATTTTTGTTGTCATTCTTTGAGCCCGGATCATCCATCCGAACACATTCCGGGCGCTTAATTAAAGCAGTTATTTCAAACCAATATTCAGCTTGCTGATTGTAGGGTACAGTGGTCATTTCGTATTATGGGTGAGACATGTTCCTTTTCCAAACGCATTTGAGCTTCATATATTAAGAGAAACAAAAACCCCTACTCTGGAATTTTTATTTTTATTTTTAAATGGGAGACTTTTTGAGGGCATGTGCTGTTGACTCGCACGGGCAATTAAGCACTCCCTCCGTCACCCGCCTCTGCAAAATAACAGGAAAAGGGCCTTCTGTAATTCCTTAGCTGCAGCTTCCATGTTGTGCAATTCTGGAGAAAAGTATAGGGCTTTTCATTTGGAGATGCTCCTGTGAAGTAACTTTCAGTCATTTTGTGAGGTTTCTGTGCCCCAGTTAGTAAATTTTGGGTATGTGAAATATCTGTTGAGAAGTTTCTTAGTATTTACAGACTTTTCTCCAGATGCTAAGTATAGTTTGTTTGTTTTTTGGGGCGGGATGGGATGCGAGGTGAATGGCTTATTTCCACTTTTAGAACTGTGAAAATATGTGGGTAAAGATGTAATTCATTCTTCCTGCGTTAACATACACAGCTGAATATTTTCAGGACTGCACAGTTTAGTTAACTAGCAAATGAATCTCAGAGTTTGGAAAATTATTTGAATTAGTTTTGAGGGAGACTTCACATTAGCATGATTTTATGTATTTATGACAGCTTTCATTTTATGTGAATTCTCATGCTTTGGTATTGAATTAGAAAAAGATGTTAAATGTTTTAAAACTGGCATCAGGAGTCAATGTAATAAAAGTCATTCTGAAATAATTTAAATTTTAAAGATTTCTTTGGAACTAAACGTGTAGAGTAACACAGCAGGAAGCACAAAGCGTTAGTGTATTTTTATGTCCTGGCGCCACTGATAACGGCAATGAGAATAATAATCATATTTTGATTTTGACGTAAGCAGCATATTGAAGTTAATGTCCATTTGGAGGAGAAACGAAAGCTATTTAAGTAACTAGAGAAGATAGAAAGAGGGAAATGTATATGGTGACCTGTGTGGAAAAGCAGACGAGTGGAAGGCAGAGGCAGTGACGTTTCCTTTCCTTTGACACAGAGGACACTTGTAGTACAAATGTCAACGTGTTGCCCTGGATTCGCAAGGGCTGCCAACCAGCAAACGGCCTACTTTCTGCCCGTGCATGTAGTAGGTTCTGGCGCGCCGGAGGGACACATGGAACAGCTTCCGGGAGAAAGGAAGTGAGAGGGACGGGTGCCGGTGGACCCCCTGCCCCCCCATGTCGGCTCTGTGCTCCTGCTGTGCATTAGTCGTCCATTTGGGGTTCACAGCAACTCCGGGGCGTAGGTGGTGTGTCCCCCATTTAAAGAACAGCACGGTGCACAGAGAGGTCAATCAACCTTCCTGCCGCCGTCACACTTTGGTGCGGGGCAGAGAGCACCTTGCATTGGACCGTCTGACTCCAGGGTCTGACCTTGCCGGGGACCGGGCGCACCAGTAGACACCCAGCACTCTGAGTACGCTGCTTCGTTTCTTTCTATAGCAGCCCTTCCGATAGTCTCGTTTTTTTCTTGTTTTTGTTTTTTGATGAACGAACAGGCTCAGAGAGATTAATTTGCTCAAGATGAAACATCTGGCGAGTGCTGGGTTCTGCACGCCAGCTCAGGCCACTCCGCCTCTGAAATCTTTGCTCTTCACATCACTCTGCAGAGTGATCTTGTTATCTGCAAGTGTGAAAAACGTGGGTATAGTGCCTGTTTAAAGTTTTTTTTTCTTTAAAGAAGAGTGGGCAGATCTTAAACTCTCCAATGGTTTAGAATGATTGGTACTTAGTAATATTTGCCTTGATGGTTGGAATAGATAAAAAGATCATATTCAAAATACAATGAAAAACAAGTTTAGAAGACATTAAAACGCTGACTTAGTAACAAGAAATGAATACATTATTCACAATGTTATGTTTGTACATTTTGTTTACTCTTTAATCAACAATCTTTCAAAGTATAAATTTATATGCCTTGACTAGAGAAAAAGTAAGGTTTCATTTCTTTTGATACAAATATTCATTTGCTACAGACACTGTCATGCAGCAAATGTTAATAGACAACGTATTTCAAAGGTTTTTACCCAATGGTATTCAATTAATCATTCAAAAAATTAGTCCAACTTTGTTATGTTTTACTAAAATCACTTTGGCGATGAGATATAGGGTCTTCAGGCACGATGTAGGCTTTTTCTGTAAGAAACTTTCTGACTTTTAACATATTAAAAAGTATTGAATTTTAGAATCATATGTTGAAAAAGTCGTTTAAAATGATAGCTAGAAATCAATTGTGGCCATAGAATGAAGTTATTGAACCATAAAAAAATAAATAAATACTAGCATTGTAATACCTTCAAAGCAGATAGAGTATTTACTTAATTTGAAGTCTTATGTCAGAAGCTTTGAATCCTATTCTTCACACTAAAAATATTCCACATAGCCCAAATCGTAATAGTTCATTTTGTGGAAGAATGCAGATAAAGTTTTGATCAAATGAAGAATAAATTTGTTTAGATGTATTTTAATCGATAAACAGATACTCTAATTACTTTAAGCAAATTGCAAAAACTATTCTGCCTCTACTACTGTATGGGAACACCTTAACCCTTTTAAGCAATGTTATTACTGAGTTTGTGTAAATGTTCCGCCCTCTTAAATCCTTTGGGGGAATGGCGGGTGCAGAACCTCTATGACACTCTTCCTTACTGAATTCTTGAACTTGGAGTCCTTAGCGTGGAGTTTAAGGCCTACTTCCTCATGTCGCTTTGTCATTTAAACTTTATCCAGTATTAATCTCTTTTTCATACCATTGAGTTTAGCATCCTTTTTTTTTTTTTTTAGCATAATTTCTCTGTGCGTTCCAATATATCTTGTTGTCGCAATCCGCCATAAGCTCTGACTCTTATGCGTTAGCATAATTTCTTTGTGCGTTCCAACATATCTTGTTGTCGCAATCCGCCACAAGCTCTGACTCTTACGTGTATGCGAAGGTTGCGATGGCAGTGGTGGCCAGGAGGGACTAGTAGCAGAGAGGCCAGTTTGGGGAGTTATTGCAGGAGTTTGAGCAAGAGATCCCGGGAGCTTGACGGAGGGTGGAAATGACGATAAGGCTGCTAATAATTACTGAGTGCTCACCGTGTGCCGGGCACTCGTTTCAATCCGTGTGACAGCCCGAAGAGGTGGAAACTCATCATTCCAGTGTTACTGATGAAGAAAATGAGGCCCAGAGGTTTAGGGCGTCACCCAGAGCCGTCTTCCGGAGCCTGGGAGTCTGGCTGCAGCCTGCGCTCTTGACCACGGTCCCACAATGGCAAAAGTCAAGTGAACAGGGAAGGAGGAGGCAAAAGACAGAAAAAGCAGCAGAGATATAATCCCTAGTATCTCCCGTGACTGAATTTGGGGCGCAGGGGGAGCGGTTTAAATAAAAACGTAGTACGTAACGGATGAGGTTGCCTGAGGTTGTGGGGAGGGTGAGGTCGCCTGAGCTTTTGAGCCGTGGCGACTGGGAAGGTGAGGGGTGGCACCATTGGCAGAGAGAGAGCAGCCGGCGGGAATGGGACGTCAGCTGTGTTTTCGGAATCCTTGAACTTGATGGCCTGGTTCAGTAGCTTCTCGGAGAACCCCAGTGACGTAGGCAGCGTGAGCGTAGGAGTGGAGAACAGTCGAGAAGCGGAGGCCAGAAGTCACAGTCTGGGGATCTGCTGCGAGTAGAGTGTAACCGACATCGGGCAGCTCGTTGACGGCGAGAAGACAGTGCAGATGGAATCTAGGCTGATGGCCACCGAGAGAGCGTTAGGGGGCGCCGGGGAGGAGGAGAGCAGTCAGGAAGGGGCGCGACAGCGTAAGTCATGACTTCCCCAGTTTTAATGAATCGGCGATCTGCGGAGAGAGAACTGGAATTACCCCGTTTATCAAAGTTTTACCCACCATTTTGCCATCCAGTAATGATACCTGCTTGAATCAGTGACTGTCGATTATCGATGTCATTAATCAGTGACGTCAATTGATTCCTTCTTTCTCTTTTTCTTAGTAATTCATTTATAGCAGAGTGGATGCACTCATTCTTGCTGTATTCAGCAGCTTATGATCCTATGTCATCATCATTTGTTGTGATACTTACATCGTCCCAGATTTGGCCAGTGACATCGTCTTTCTGCTGGGCCTTCTGAGCCGGCCCGCCCTCTGCCGGCATTTCCTGGCTCCCCGTGCGCGTGGCCACACGGGTGTCCTCAGCTCATCTCGTGCGCCTCCTCCTCCAGCCCTGGACACAGCCATTCCTTCAAGAGCCCTGCTCCTTTTGGTGGCAGACGGGCGTTAGGAACCAAGCTCCGGGTTCAGGCTCCCCGCTGCGGGGGTCGGGCCCCGGGCTCGGCAGCACACGTGCACGCACGCGTGGCACGCACCTAGGTCTTTCTCTGCAGACGGCTGGGAAACGCCGTGCGTCCCCCTGACGCGTCGCGCTCCGGTCCCATGCCGCTGGGCTCATTCGGGCCCTCTCCACTTCTCTGACCCCCCTGCCACTGAGGCATCTGGCCCCATTTTGAGGCTGAGGTTTCTTTGTGACAATCCAAGCGAGGAGCTGAGCAGGCTGGTGGCTTAGAGGGAACCGGAGCTCAGAAGGGGTGCGTGAGCCTCCCGGGGTGACGGTGGGGCAGGGGAGGCCACCGAAGCCCAGGACTACGCACAGCCCTGGCCGCTTGGCGAGTGTGGGGGCGAAACGGGCGTCTTCTTTGAAGGCAGAGCTCCACGTCGGAGACTTCGTGGTCTCATAGATATTTGAACGCTGGCTGCGACGTGGGCACTGTTCTAGGTGCTGACACCGGACAGCGGGGGCTCCGCTCTCGAGGCCACATTAGAGGGGCAGGAGGAGAAAGCACGGCCACGTCTCGTAGGACAGTACTGACTGTCACACGGAGAACCGGGCTGGGTGACTGGTCAGTGGTCGGGGAAGGCGTATCTGAGATGACGCCTAACTCAGATCCGAGTGGGAAGGGCTGGCCACGTGAAGGTCGGGGGGAGGAACACCATGGGCGGAAGGACAGCTTGTCACAGCCCCAGAGGCACAGACCCGGCCTATCACAGCGATGGAAAGGCTTGGGCGGCTGCAGCCCCGTGGGCCCAGGATGGCGGGGGGCGTTGGGGTCCAGAGGAGAGGAAGTAGGAGGCACGTCCGTGGAATTTGGGGAAACTTGGACTCAGAAGTTAATCATCGCACCCCAGATCCTGTCTTGAGTAAGTGGGAGAATCAGGGCTCGACTTTAAACCCAAAGCCCCAGTTTTCCCGCTGCGTCATGCCACCTTCTAACGGCGGTGGCTGTGGACCGGCTGGGAGGGGTGGGCTTTGACAGGGAGCGGAGCCGCGGCGGGAAGCAGCGGCCGCGGGCCGTCCCTTCCTGTTCTAAAGAAATCGGTGCTATTTGCCGGCGTGACTTACGCATGCAACAGGTAGCTAACTCAGCTTTATAGAAAATTACAGACAGTTGCCTTGAGCAATACTCCCTCCACCTGCACCTCCAGCATTTCAGGTGATGGTTAATTTCAAAACCGAGGTCTCGTCAGGATGGATAGGGACCCGGTGAAGCTTCTACCTAAGGCCCGGCGCGCAGGAAAGTCTGGTCTCTCCCTCCTTCGGATTCTGGGCGTGGCGTTGCACGCGCTCCCTGAGTAGTGCTTTCTTAGCTCCTGTGCGCCGGAGGTTAGGGGGAGGGTGAAGCCTCTTATCCTTGATTTCACCTAGTTATTTTCTAATGTACCGTTTCAGTTCATCTGTTTTCAGATGTGACACAACTCCAAAACTGTTTCTTTAAAAAAGACAGTCTCGTGCCGTTGGCAGAAATGATAGCCATGTTCAAAGCCTTCTCTTTAGCATATTTAGTTCTTGAAGACTTTTTAAAAGTGACCTATTTTATAATATTCAGTAGGCAGTTTTGATCCTTTTGGGGGTGGAAAAGTCGCTTTTTGTCATCTTCAAACGTCCTTTGATTTGCTGCAGATCCCTCCCCGTTCTCCGCCCTGGGATCTTTTCACAGCTGCCGCTGTCCTACCTTCGGTTTGTGGTCGTGCCGAGGCCGGATGGAAGTAGCTCCCGAACGGTCTGTCCTCCACCTTCCAGCCTTGTCATGTCGGCAAACCGCTGTTTTTTTCCGAATCGTCTAGCTGGAGGGTTTGGAGCTGGGGCTCTGCATGGATCGGCTGTGTGCCCTTGGGCAAGGCATCCTTTCTCGGGTTACTTGTCCGTAAAACGTGGGCGAGAGGATTGTTGGGATCGAAGGACAGAATGCATGTTTAGGACGGTGTCTGACACGGAACAGACCCTTGGTAAGTACTAGTGGACTCGTAGTATCTATCTGTCATCTGATTTGCCAGTTCGTCCAAGTCGTCATAAATACCACGTGTGAGACGGGTCTAGAGCGGTAAACAAATGTTAGGTGGACGCACAGGTGTGACGGAGAAGCTCGTTATCTTGATAACGAGCAGTCACTTTTGTTTGCACAGTTAAAGTTTAGATACCGGCACCTTTACTAGTTATTTTTTTCATTGTTCCGGGAAGTGGAAGTCCAAGGTGTGTGCCTTTTATAACAGTCACGTTAAAATCACGAACCTCGCCTCTGAGAGCGGCTCTTCCGCGCGGCCTCCGTCTGGTGCCCGCAGCGCTGACGGCTCGAGTCCCGGCACCGTGTCCCGTCGCACTCTGCGGGCGTCTGTGTCATGCGCAGGCAGCCGCTCAGTCGGCGCCGAGGGCCGGCTCAGCACTGGTTAATGCAGCTGTGAAGGCAGCAGCGTGTTTTCAATTATTAAATGGGGATGATATTTTTAGATGTCACCCAAATCCCACATTGATACAGCTACTCTTGACCTCTTGCCAGAGTCTCGTCTGGTCCCCAGCTGCTTTTCGGAGATTTCCACTTGGATGTTTTCGCTGTCCGTTCCCCGCTCACCGCGGTCTCACTTCATCTCCCGATCGCTGTCATCTTCCAGCCCCGACTTCTACCGCAGTCACTGTCAGATGCCAGATTAATTGTCCCTAAACATCAGTCTCGATGTGCCGCTCTCTCTTTTGGATCTGCCAGCCGCTTCTCGTGGGCTGTCGTGTAAGGGCCTCGCACAGAGCGAGCCCTTCCGGGGTCGAGCCTCATGCTCCTCCTGCCGCGCCTCCCGCTGCTTCCCACGCGAACCTTCTCCACCCTCACTGTTCGGTTTTGTGTCTCCTGATGCCCCCCCTTCTTCGTCTCCCCGCTTCTGCTTGGAAAGCCTCTTTTTTCCCGATTAAACAAGTTCTGCCTGGCCTTCCCCTCTGATTTCTTCACGGCGAAGTCCACTGTTGACGCGTCCTCTGTGGCAGTCTAAGCGCTTAATCGTTCATTCCTTTCATTCGGTGCTCGATCGTCCGTTGCTTTGTATCGTCTGCAATTTCTGAATTGCTTAACTTACCTTTTCGACTTGACTTTGTAGGTTTTTGGCTCCTAGAGGATAAGGGTTATTACTCATCCTTTGAATGAATCCCCCAGAACCATGCTGGTATATAAGAACGTGCAATAATTACTTTAATGTTGTTTGATGAAAATATTTTTTAAGTAATAGATTTTCAAAAACTCTAAGGTGCGAATTGCTAAGGAATTGATTAATTCTTCGTGCATAAAGTTTCTGAAGTGCCGACTTTGTGTTACCGACCTGTGCATCATCGGTCTTGTGCTGAGGCTGCCCGTTGAGCAGACTCGCAGACTCGCAGACTCGCAGACTCGCTGCTGCTGTGGGACGGCGGCCTCGAACCCTCACTTGCCCGAGAGGAGGCAGGCCAGGGACTGGCCAAGGGCAGCTCCGTGGTCGCCTCTAACTTGGTCCCCTGCCTTTCCCTTGGGGACAAACCTCATTCTCGTCCCGGCTTTGATGAGCAGCGTGGAG